ATTTAGACTTTTGCAGTGGGCAGCACAGATTACTTACAGCCAATAATGTTTCTCATCAGAAAGACTGTACCTCACTCACTTGGAAGACAAACACCCACAAGCCTTTAAGAGTCAGGTCACTGACAGACTGGGAGGACCCATCCTTCCCTGTGGTGTGACTGCTCACTTGGGCATGAGCCAAGATTTGGCCCTGGTAAAGGAGTACTACCCAGGTGACAGCCTGGAGGGAACTTTGTTGGTTTGTTGATCCCCAGTAAAGGGAGAGCAAGGCCTGGAAGATGCTGACTTTATTAGTGTGTTAATCCCCAGCAAAAGCAGGAGAGGAGCTGTGTTAGGACCTCTGTGTGCCAGGTTTGGTGCATGAGCAAAAGACAGAGGGTGCCCTTTCCCCAAAGGCCCAGGTGTGGCCCTTGACAGCCCTTTGCCTCTTTCTTTAAGGGCTAAGCCTTGCAATATGTGTATACTCCACCTGCCTGCCTTACAGTCTGCCTCATTTTTCTACTACATGATTTGAAAAGAAAAAGAAAAAAGAGTTTGATTGTACTTCTCAGCTTGCTGTTCTTAGAGGGATGAAAATTTGCACCTATGGAGCCCATTAGTATTGCTTATTAAATGCTTACCTCTTATGGACTGTCCCTGTAAGTCTCAGAACTGTCTGGCTATAGCTTTAGCAATGCCAAATCACAAACTGAAGGGGAAATAACTTTCCTTTAAGCATTTGCTCTGGGATTTGTGTGATTAAACTGGATTCTTATTTTCCATTGTAAAAAAGTACATTTCTGGCTGCTGTGACTGCAAAGAAAAGGTTGAAAGTCTAAGTCCAAAGCATGCAAAGCAAAAGAAGCAAATAAAAAGAATATGAGGACGCTTTTTCAGTTAGCCCTATGTTTTGAAATACTCTTTTCTCCAGGAGGCTGATTCATTCTTTTGAATGGATTGCACTGGTTATACCATTTTGGGTTTTTTGGGGTTTTTTTGTTTGTTTGTTTGTTTGTTTTTTGGGTTTTTTTTTTCCCTCTTTCCATAAGGGGTAACTTCAGAGCTTTTCTTCCAAAACTTCTCTGCCCAGTTTAGACATCTCTTAGAAAAACTAGATGAGAATGAATTTGTAAGAAAATTTAATGATCTACTATATAATTTTTTCACAACTTTGTACATGGACAGAGTGGGTTTGTAGAATTACAGAATTGCAGTGACTAATAATAGTACTAAAGTATCTGATTGTACTATGTAGTTAAAGATAGTCATAATAGTCTCATTGTCTTGTCTTCCCACTCCTTGCTGTGACATCAGCCCATCCCAGACCATCACATCCTGCTCATGGCTGTGTCTTTGTTGATAAATAGTGAGTCATTATATGCTCTGCTCTATGCCTCTTACAGCTGTATTGCCCTGTATTTTCCTCTCTCCAGAATGAAATCCCCTTTTGAAAAGATTTAGTACGCCTTTAAAACAGCCAAGTTTGTCTTGTGACAAATGTGCACTTCAGCAGAAGTAGGAATGAATAAGTTTTTTTTTTCCCTGTCTGATACCTGAAGTAGGTTCACCTACTGTAAATGATATATTTTTATTAATGACAGAACTCCACCACTACTATGTACTGATGGCACAATCTACCACATGCTGAATGCATCATTTCCATGCCTTGTCCCTGCAGGACACATTCAACCTGTAGAGCCCTGCTGCCCCACAGGCATTTAATTCTGCTTGGAATATTCAGATGCTTACATGTAAACAGATACATAGAAGTAACACCTTTTTACCACATCAAACTGATTTAGTAATACTGAATTCAAAACTTCTTGCTCTCCAGCATGCTGCTAGCTACATAGCATACTCAGGAAGCTCTTCTGAAAATAAAAGGATGGCAAAATATTTTTTTTTAAGTACAAGAAATAGTCTGGATGCTTTACAAAAAGAAAAAATGTATGCACTGACACTCAGAACATACCATGATCATTCTGGCACTCTAAATATCTGATTTGCATAGTTGGGAGATAGTTGTTTTCTTTCAATTTAAATTTAAAAGTATGATAGAGCATGTGGCATAGCAAACTTCGAGTTCTGCAGACCTACTGAATTAACATGAATTTCTTACTGAGAACCAATGAGCAGTTCATTAAGCCAACCTTGTAGAGATGAATTGAGGGGAAAGATTCAAAGGTGTAACAGATCCCCAGTGAGGAAAGATACATCTTATGTGGGTTTCAACTTGTTGCATTTTCTTGGTCATTTTGTAACTCACCCTTGCAAAGTCTGAGAGACCAGATGGCCCACTCCAGTCCAGTCCACTGTTTATGGATAAAGGAGGGATAGTGGAAACCAGGATGAAACATGTGGTCCCTGAGGTGGACAGATGGATGGATGATGGATGGATGGATTGTCTTCAACTCTCATCACTGTTGTTTGCCCTCCCTTTGCTTTCCCTAGGCTGAGGATCCCAAGCCCTGGCCTATCAGCTGCCAAACAAGCTGCACATTATCAGTGATCTGGTGTATGCTAGAGCATTGGCCAAAACCTTGGCTGTAAATCTTGCTCTGCTGGTGACCTCCCATGGGGCTGCATCTGTGTGCCTCCACAACCTTCCATGTGTGGGAGCCAGGAGCAGGGTGAGGTGGTGGGATATTGCGTGGGTGTGCTGCTAATGGAGCAACATCTACGCTTGGAGAATGTTGCAAGCACATGGTCAGAGGTTGCTGTATGGAAAACCATCACCTCTCTGGCACAGCCTGTGTGTTGCACTGAGCCTGCAGAGCCTCCTTAAGAGCATCTCTTTTCCACTAGACCTAATGTGAAAAGTCCTGTTCTGACTCTTTCCCAGAATAATCCTGAGTGAAAGTTTCTCCCCCCCTGTCCTTTCACCATGAGCTGGCCTGGGGCAGGTGTGAGATTGCTGCTCTTACCTTGCCAGTAGCCCTCCTGCAGAAATGAAAATGTTTTCACTGCACAAAGCAGTGTATTTCATTGCAAAACAACTCTGCTGACTGCTTGCACATCTGTTCCTCTCTTCCCTGTATCACAGTCTCCTCCTTTGGGTTTCTGAGTGCTGGGGGCACCATAAAGTACTGCTTGTGGTGCACCAGACCTGCACAAGGCATCCCTTGTTCCCTAGCCCCAATTAAAGAGCCATTCTGGTGCACAGGAGGGACCGACTGGATAAACAGAGTAGAGCTCCTGCAACCCTTCATGGGAGATAATTCAACTGCCCATTTGCTGGCTCTTTCTTTCTCTGTTCCTTCTGAAGTATTTTTGGGTGGAGGGATTGAAAATTTGATTTGTTAAATAGGTTTAAGAAAATGTAAATGGTAATTATAAAATTCCCCGAGTATTTTTTTTCATGATAGATTTTATGTAGCTGGCAGTTAAAATAAGTGATTACCTCATAAATATCATTTTAATAGCCTAGTCAACGGTGTAGCCTCTGCTGTTCTGAGATTTTTATCTCAGAAAAGGGAGGGAAAAAATCCTTTCCCGTGGATTTATATTGCTGTAGTGGCTGCTGCTGTGACTCATTACTTGCTGAGTAATTTGAGGGGAACATATTCTGCTCATGCAGGCAGACAGAATGAGTGAGCATGGATGCTGCTGGGGACTGCCCACCCTGTGCCCCCCAGCCAGCTGTGCCCTGGCCAATGGTGGCTCTGGCCAGCATGTCAAGTGCTCCAGCTGAAGCTTTCAGGGTAACAACTCATGTTTTCCAAAACCAGTCATTCCTGCACACGAGCACCATCCTCCTCCATCAGCAACAGGCCAGGACCTTGCCCACATCCTTGTTGCTAAATGGGGAAGAGATTAATTTGGTGAGTGCAGTATTCGCTGGGCAAGGACTTGGCTGGATGGCTGCATTCCAGTAATTTTGCAGTCAGTGGCTCGATGTCCAAATGGAGATTGGTTACAAGGGATCTCAGGGGTCGGTATTGGGTCGGAACTGATGAATATATTTTTTTTATTTCTACATACAGTGGTAGCCAGTGCTGTCTTGGCAGGATGTGAATGACAGCAAGCAGAGGGTGCAATGGGTTTGCCTGGGGGAAGGGAAGGACCTGGACAAGCTGGAGGGGTGGCCCTGTGTGAACCTCATGGAGTTCCAGAAGGTCAAGGGACACCTTTTCAACACCTTTCAATATATATAAAGGAGCTTGTAACAAGGATGGAAAAAACTTATTACCAAGACCAGCAGTGACAGGGCGAAGTGCAACAGTTTTAAACTGAAAGAGGATAGGTTTAGATTAGACGTAAGTAAGAAATGCTTTACTCAGCGGGTGGTGAGGCACTGGAACAGGTTTCCCAGAGAGGCTGTGGGTGCCCCATCCCCGGAAACATTCGAGGCCAGGCTGTATGTGGCTTTGACCAACTCGATCTAGTGAGAGGTGTCCTTTGCCCATAGCGGGGTGTTGGAGCGCGGATGGTCGTTCAGCTGCCTTCCCACGCAAGCCATTCCTTGCGGGGGCTGGGGCTCCCGCCATTCCGGTTAGAGAGCGGCCGAGCCCCGAGCCGAGCCCGCCGCGCTCCGCGCCTGTCCCCGCGGAGCGCCGGGCGGCAGGGGGCGCTGCGGCCCCGCCGTTGCGGCGGCGGCGCGGGGGCGGCGGGCGCGTTGATCCTAATTGGAGCCGACGCGCGGCTCCTCCATAATCCTCCGACATCCCCCCGCCGGCTCGTAATTCCTGGGCGGGCGCTGCCGCCGGCTCGGCGGGGGAGCAGCCGCCGCGGTCGGGCAGGTGTTGCCGCGCCGCGCCGCCCCTGCCCGCCTCCCGCCGCGGGGGGCGCGGCGGCCATGTTGTCCCCCGGCGTGAGGGAGCGGGCGGGTGCGGGAGCGGCGCCCGCCGCCCCCGGTTAATGATGGAGCGGTAAAAGCTCCTTTGTGGCGGTAATTGGCGCACGTAGCCCTGGCGCTGCCGCGTGCGAGCGCTGGCGTCATTCCCGCAGAGGCGAGGGATGCCTGGGCTCGCCGCGGTTCTCCGCAGGGCAGGATGGGGATCCCTGGGATGCGGGGCCGGCGGCCGGGCTGGAGGCGCCGCCGGAGCCTGCCTTCAGTAACGCAAGGTCGGTCGTGTCTCGCCGCCACCTCGCAGGCCGTGTGTGTGCCTGTGTTTGCTGCAGATGCTGCTTGTGGATGGGTGGTATTTGAGGGAAGAATTGGAGCAACTGGGTCCGGCTCCGAGCCCCTGTATTGTGGGTACTAGTGCTGGCAGTAACAATACCAGGGGCTTTTGGGTTTTATTTGCGCTCTTGACACGGCTCAGGAGAAGAGTTGATATGTTCAGCATGGCTGCTGGTCAGCAAGAGAAGCTGCCAAGAGCTATCTCTTCCCACCCGTAGCATCTACCTGGGTTTTGTCTGAGAGGTGGAGTTCCCTTGCTCTATGCACTCTCTGAACAAAGGGTACATACGCACTGATTTTGCACCTGGGCTCTGCAGAGCCCCTGGACCTCACCTGCTAGAGTCATTGCACGATGTGTATGTGTTTGGGACAATGGGGCAGGGATACCAGGGTTTGCCTGGTGGCTCCAAGCCCTGCTCTCAGGCTGGCATTATCAGATGACCGCTATCTGTCTCTGTGTTCATGTAGGCACTAAATTTTTCTCTCTCTCTCTCTCTCTCTGTGAGCGCACAAATTCATCTTGCTAGGGATGGTGTGGGTTTGCAGAAGTAGAAATATGAACTACTCAACCTCAGCTTTAAAGGTTTGGACTCTATGGTTGTTTCCACATTTATTTTAAGCAGATGTAAATCTAGAGTTAACTCTGCTGAAAGAAGAGTTGTGTGGCACAAAACCATTGTGCGTTTCTGTGAACAGATACAGCTGACTGTCAGAGAAAAGAAAATAATGAAGTGGTGGTGAATAAGGCAGGCACCTTGCTTTCAGCTGTAATACGCAGAGTTTCTGAGGAGCAGATGTTCTTCCTCTTGTAACTGCTGCTCTCTGGCTGAACATGGCTGAGGAGGCAGCGAGGTCCCCAGAGCCTGTGGGAGGTGTGAATGTATGTAAAGATTTTAATGATGTCTTAAAGGCAGAGTCCCCGAACTCTGATCTTCAGATGTAGAATTACAATATTAGATGCACTGCCAGACATGCTAGAGACATGGACTGCCTTTGCATGTCTCTTATGTGTGCAGTAAGCTCTTGAAGCAAGATTAATGGACGTGCTCTTTGCAGTTCTGTGCTTTCGGGGCAGATTTATATCTGTAGGTGGGTCCTGTAATCACTGGTGCCATACATTACACCTTCTGCTGATTGCTTGTGCCATAGTGTAATGTAAGTCTCTTTCAGTCCTTTAAAACAGGTAGTAGTGCCATTTCTGACAGGACTGGGCATCTCTTCCACTGCCTAGGCTCTTGTTGTGTGTTAGCAGGATTGATAGAAGGTTTTTCCTATTCATTCACTTTAACATGCTCCCTGATCCCAGCAAATTGCTGTGTACTAAACTGGGACAAGGAAACTTTGACCTTTACGTGAGCCTGGAACAGGCATGAGGAGAAACTTCACTAGTCTGCTCCTCTGTTTCTACATTTGGACTTTAGGTAAGCTTGTCATCCAAGAGTATTCCATTCTCAAATGCTTCTGTTTTTCTTTTAGTGGCCACCTAGAGAGGATTGTTCATCATACACCTCAAGGACATTTTCTTTACAGAATTTTCTGACTATTTTCTGTATTTAAATAGCTTTTCTCTTTCTTTGCATTCATCTTGCTATAGTCAACAGCCGCTTAATAAAGTCTGGGGGACTGGACTGTATTGATTTGGGATTGACCTGGACAGTTCTGAATATTTCCCACTTCTGTCATTCTGAGCAAATTTTGCTTCAATTTTGGTATATATCCACTTACATATCTGTTTCCTCTAGTGCCTGTTATTGCTCATTTTTACTGGTCGCAGTTCTAGTACAGAATAGCTGAATGCAGAAGTCTGAGGACTCAGAAACTTTTTTCTCTTCTCCTGAGAAAGTTTAATTCTAATTTTGATATATGTATTAGAGGTATCTCTTGGTATTTAATAAAGTCAATTTGGCTGCAGAAGCTCTTGAATCCAATCTAGCTGATTCTGTGGAAGTGAAGGAGCCAGCTACCAACCCCACCAGTCCTCATAGCACAATAGGATAACTGAGATCTGCAGGGGTTTCCAAGTGTGCTCTCTGCCAGCCGCACGTGAAACTTGTGGAAATGTGCCTGTGATATCTCATGGACTTTACTGCCACCAGTGGAATCCATGTGTACCTTTCATTTCACATAGGTACTGCATCAGGAGATTACAGGAGAACTAAATGAAGGGGTCACAACTTAGGGTAAGGGAGGCTCCTTGTCTCTCCTTCAAAGGATGGTATTTGGTCCTCTTTGTGGGGAAAAAAAATTCCATCAATCACATTTTTGATTCATACTGATGGAACTGATGAGTTTTCTTACTTGAAAACTTGATTCTTCTCAGACAAATCTGTGGTCACTAGATCTCTGTAGTTCAGCCTCTACAGTTCTTCCTGTAGTTACACCTCAGCAAAGTGTTCTGAGTAGTAGGTTTTCTCTCAGGGAGGGCAGAACTACTTTGGAATGACATGAAATTTGGTGATGTTTCTTACAAAAAAAATCTCCCCCAAATCAAAGAAAAGGATAAAGGGAAATATTTTTAAAAATTAATTTTGCGTCTTTTTTTTCCTTTTCAGGTAAAAAATAAGGAGCAGAGTAAATAATAGGGAGCAGCAAATATTCACTATTTTAAAGGCAAGCATTTCCTCCTCTGTTGTATTTTTTTGGTTTGGTGTTTTTGTTTGGTGTGCTTTTTCTTTCCCTTAGCCAAACCACTCCCTTAGCTTTTATTTCAGGTAGATTCAACTGAATTTTTTTCTGCCCATTATAGTTTTTTGTTTGGCCATTGAACCAGATAATCCAATATTTGCACAGCACTCCCTGGAGCTGCATGAAGAGGTAATGCTGTCATTATGACAGGTAGACCTCAGGAGATTACGTGAAAGCACAGGGTCTCCTAGCAGAAGCTCCTTGGCCTTTAAATGTTCACTCTCAGATGCTTAGGATTTCCCTGCAGATCCCTGGACTGTGTTATATTAGAGGGGGCAGAAGTGTTGAGGGGGTCTGTGGTTTCCTTGAGGAAGAGCAGTAATGGTATTCAGCAACAGAGCATGGAGTTTCTGGACTGTTCATGAGTATTTTTCTCTTAAGGGAAAGATAAGGCTTCTAGTGCTAAATGTTGAGATTTACTCCTATGTATAGTAGAAATTTATTTTCTTTTTAGTGTGTGACTTTTTATAGTTCTGAAAATATGGTTATCTATATCTATATACATATCTTTTCTGCTGTGGGTTCTTGCTGTGGGTCAGTGTACCTTGTTCTGTTTGTAGAAAAATATTTGTTCCTAATTAAACTCACCTTCTTCTGTTTGTACCAAAACATCCTGGGTTCATGAAAACTGCCTGACCTGTGAAGCTATCTGCTTGGACAAGGATTTTGCAGATCACTCTGCACACTGAAATCCAAAATTTCTCCTGCCTGGCTTATATGGTTAGTAGTATAAATTTTTTAAGAAAATGCCTGGTGTTATAAGCAGCTGCAGGTTTTGTGCTTGTGAAACCTATTTGTACAGATATTAAAAGCCACCAAAGTCTCCACCCAAATCTGCCACAATTGCTCAGATCTCCAAATAATTACAATCTAATTAGAGCCGGCATTCAAAGTTGCCTCCAGCATTTGAAACAAAAGTAATTTAGCGGTAATAAAAGTGTAGATTGGCTGCTCTGGAGGCTGAACTCTGCCTACCCGCAAAACGTACCTGGGGTGGGAAAGAGCTACAAGAATCACCACAATGACTGAAGGGCCTGACCCCCTGCCTTGAGATGACAACCCCCAAGGGATGAACAAATGGGCAATTTTCTACAGGTCTCTTTACTGCCACTGCCAAGAGTGCTGCTAATTACTGACAATAATTAGTATGTTGTCTATGGCATGAATACTTTTCTGCTAGGAAAAACACCTGATTCGTTGTATGATAACAATCAAATGCCCATCATGTAGTGATGGTGTTTATGAAGTTAAGGATTATTCTGAATTTGAACCACGGCCTTTGAGGTGAAAGGCTTTATCCTGTTACCAGTCTGCCGTGTGTGAGGTACAGGGCTGTGATTACCAATTCATTTCATAAAGGGCAACCATTTAAAATTCTCTCAAACTAGCAGCTGCTGGAGGAATGAAAAAGCAGCTGGGTCTGGACAAATATGTCTTTTTTTCCTCTGTGTTAATTTAAAAAGAAATTCTGCAATTCTCCCCCTTGATGAATGAGACTTGCAATCATTGTTGAACTATCACTGCTGAATGATAGCTTATCTGTGCTTGCTTGACATAAGGAATTCTTCCAGTTCCAGAGGTGGAAGTCGTGTTTAGGCTGAAGAGCACCTTAGAAAATAAGCTGCTTCATATTACCAGTCAGTAGGAGGAGTCATTTGGATTTGATGTGGAGGTGGGTTCTAGATGAACCTGCTTTAGCAGGGGTTTTACATTTGATGATCTTCAGAGTACTTTACAGCCACAACCATTCTGTGAGAAGAACCTGCTTGCCTCAGTTTCTTGTAGTGCTATTGGATTCTTTTATTGCTGTCAGTTATAACTAAAGGCAGGAAAAAGAATCCCCTTCCCTTCCCTTCCCTTCCCTTCCCTTCCCTTCCCTTCCCTTCCCTTCCCTTCCCTTCCCTTCCCATCGAAAGGATCACTTGTTACTTCTGAAAACTGACAGGTCTTAGTTTTCCTCCAGCCAAGTTAGCATATGCCTTACTGCAGCAGCCAAACCTTAATTCGGTTTGCAGTAGGATTATAGCAGGTATATTTACCCTCAAGAACACTCATTTTCTGTTTATAATTATCTTCTCTGCTGAGTCAGAGGAAAATCAAAATTATGCCCTGTTTTATATTATGTTTTCCTTGGACTGATGTGAAAATTCCGGGTGACATTGTCAAAAGCATCCAATTTATGTAGGATTAAAAGACGGGCTTTCAAGATCATCTGCTCCTCAGATATATAAGGGACATTAGAAAACAGTTCCTTTGG